TAGACAGTTTGAATTTGTTTGTTTTGGTTAAGGGTTGCAGTTTGGATCATGAAGTGGAAAAATGAAATTTTGATGGTTGGAAGTTGAGGGTGAACATTTGTTAGTATGTGGATTGATTGTTTTGAGTGACATTTTTGAGGAGGTGTAAATTAGTATGTAGTTAGGATTGTTGTTTTGAATGAGTGTAAGGGTTGGGTTAAAGGTTGGACAAATTATGCGAAAAATGAAGTTGATGATGAGAATACTGATTTTTCTCATGATTAACTTAGTAGGTGTTTCAATTTCGGGGTTGAAAATGGGGTACCAAAGTTTAAAAAGTGCTCAAAAGTGTAGGGGGGGGGGGGGTAGAGGGCCAGGATGCCCCCATCTGGACGGGAGAGGCTTGGTCTAACTGCTTAAGGGGGGGCTTAAGGGGGGGCTTAAGGGGTGGTTCAAGGGGGGGGGCCGGAGCGGAGCCCGAGCGTAGCCGCGACGAAGCCGAAGCGGAGCGGAGGCGGAGCGAGGGTGGAGCGCAGGTGCAGCGATGGTGGAGCTGAGAGGCGGAGCGTAGTCGCAGCGCAGGCGCAGCGAAGCGGAGCGCAGGCGGAGCGGAGGCCGAGCGGAGGCGCAGCGGAGGCGGAGCGGAGGCGGAGCGGAGGCGCAGCGGAGGGCTTGAGGGGGGGGCTTCAGGGGGCTTCAAGGGGGGCTTAATTAAGCCTTGGCGCCGGGGGTCGGCTTCAGAAAGGGGGTCTTAAGGGGGGCTTCGGCTTAAGGGGGACCTTTTTTTAGGGCGGGGGGGGGTTAAAGGGGGGCTTAAGGGGAGGCTTAAGGGGGGGCTGGGCTTTAGGGGGGGCTTTAAGGGGAGCTTGAGGGGCAGAAACCGCCCGCGAGCGCGACTGGCGCGGTGGACGCTCGTGACATGCGGAAACCGCCCGCGAGCGAGACTGGCGCGGTGGACGCTCGTGACATGCGGAAACCGCCCGCGAGCGAGACTGGCACGGTGGACGCTCGTGACATGGTTTCCGCCCGCGAGCGAGACTGGCGCGGTGGACGCTCGTGACATGCGGAAACCGCCCGCGAGCGAGACTGGCGCGGCGGACGCTCGTGACATGCCGGCGAGCGAGACTGGCGCGGTGGACGCTCGTGACATGCCGGCGAGCGAGACTGGCGCGGTGGACGCTCATGACGTGCGGCAACAGCCACGTGCGCGGCTCCATGTGAACAGCCCGGCGCTCCAGGTACGCCATAAGTTTCCTTTTTGCCGCGCACCTGACCCGAACAAATGGTGCCAATGTGTTTCTATAATAGGACAAACTCTTCAGAAACTGTAGCCTCTTGGGGTTCGCCCTACGTATTTGGAAGCAGCCTGGAAGCACGTTGACATGAATATGCTGAGCGCACTCGGCCCAAACAAAAGGGCGCACGAACATCCGAACAGCTGACCCCGGTCTACGCAGATCGCGGTAACACTGTGTCTCAGACTTGTTTCGGACAGGCGTCAGACCCACCAAGTCACCAAGTGACCGAGGCTTGTCCACACCAAACCCCCCGCAAAAACACAACACCATCCACAGCCCGGCGTTCCAGGTGCGCCAAAATTGCAAACGGTGCCAATGTGTTTCTAGGACAAACCCTCTCTTCAGAAGCTGTAGCCTCTTGGGGTTCGCCCTACTTATTTGGAAGCAGCCTGGAAGCACGTTGACATGAATTTGCTGAGCACACTTGGCCCAAACAAAAGGGCGCATGAATGTCCGAACAGCTGACCCCGGTCTACGCAGATCGTGGTAACACTGTGTCTCTCAGACTTGTTTCAGACAGGTGAGACCCACCAAGTGACCGAGGCTTGTCCACACCGAGCCCCCCGCAAAAGCGCAGCGCCGGCCCCGTCTCCACTCACCTGCGGCGAATCCACCCAACTTGCCATCCACACGCATCCAATTGACAACGTGCGCGGCCCTTTCCACAAAGTCACCAGTTGCAATTGGTTGCGAATGGGAAAATAGGTGGAGAAACGGACAAATCCAAGCAAGCTTACGAAGCAAGTTTGTGAAGGCCACGTGCGCGGCTCCACGTGAACAGCCCGGCGTTCCAGGTGCGCCAAGATTGTCCTTTTTGCCGCACACCTGACCCGAACAAATGGCGCCAATGTGTTTCTGAAGCAGCCTGGAAGCACGTTGACATGACTATGCTGAGCGCGCTCGGCCCAAACAAAAGGGCGCATGAACATCCGAACAGCTGACCCCGTCTACTCAGTCTCAGACTTGTTTCAGATGGGTGTTGCCTTGCTTCGGAGTGGTAGTTTGTGCGGATCCATTTTCGGATTTCTGCGATTGGTTCTTCATGATGAATCAGATGACTTCGTGCCTTCCATGTAGTGCGGGGCCTGTCATGTTTCACCCGTGCCTTTGCCTTTTTGTCTGTGCTTGGTCAGAGCACAGGCTGCTGGCTGCCAATCCGGCTTGAGTCGCGGTTGCTCCCCTTCTTCATCTGTTTTGGGGTTGATTTCCCAACTGTGAACAACTTAAATCTTGGTTTGCCTTCGGACCCTTGAGCCGGAAAACAACGGGATCCACATGCCATGGGGAGTGAGGCTGGTTTGCTTTTGGGTTCCCGAGCTCCTCTTGTTTAATCGGAGACAGAAAAGGATGCCGAGCCAGATGAGCATGTGGAACTTGGGCAAGGTGCGCTCCAATACTAAGATTGGCAAGTTCTTGAGCCTGGAGCCGCTGTTTTGGCAGAGCAAAGCTTCGCTGGAAATCCCATGGGAGCCCAGGGCTTTTTCCGAGGGCCAGCGCCCCAGTGTGAGCTTTGCAACCGACGAGCGCACGAGGCTCCTCTGGGAGCGGGCCGAGACCGATCTGGTCGAGCAGCTGGCGGCCGCGTCCGAGCGCGTCTTCGACGCGAAACTCACCCTCGAGGCCGTGCGCCAGCGGCTGCTGCCCTCTGTGAGGCAATCGCGCGGCGGCGATTGGATGCTGAAAGCCAAGCTGCCTGCCCACGCGCGCTTCTGGAACGCTGGCGGCACGTTTGCGGACCGTCCCGCAGAGCTAGCCCACTGCGCCGCGCGCGTTCGGCTGAGAGCGCGCAGCTTGTGGTTGATGAGCGGCATGTGTGGCTTGAGTCTTGAGGTCACGGATCTGCGTGTGGACAGCCTCCTCAAGTCGCAGATGCAGCTGGGCAGCCTGCAGTACCCTCACAACCCCATGAAAGAAGCCTCGGAGCACTTCCTCTCGGTCCTTGCGGGCACCTACGACGACACGGTGCGCAACATCGACGTCGGCCGTGCGGGCTACCTGCGCCACAGCTTCATCGCCGGCTTCCCGACCGAGCGCGTGCCCAAGATGCCATTGAGTGGTGTCAGCACGTGCCGCATTCAACCGGGCAACGTGTGCCGCATTGCGCGCCGGCGAGATGCACATTGCATCCTGCCGCCACCAATGCCTTCGATGCCTTCGATTGTTTCACGCCTCGCAGGTAACACACCTGGCGCCTGGTCGAACACGCATGTTGACCACGGGGGCATTTGAGAAGGCTCCTCAGAGGGGTGCAGACCCGGGGAAAGGACACGCGCTGTCTTTCCCCCTGCACCTCCGAGCCTTAACTGCCAAGCAACGCCTTATAAAGAAAAAGAGCATGCGCACAGGTTTGTCGGTCGTGCTCTTTTTTCTTTTGCTGCATGTTCCCTTTCGGATTGAAGCAGTGATCAAGATTCTAACTTACTACTAAAAGCGTCTCAGAGGCATCCCCCAGCACCACGGCGCAAAAAAAGGACACCCGTATTAAAAAATGGCAAGTTGGGCAAAACACGACGACGGACCTGTTCATCCACTGGCCTACCAGCTGGTGACGCTCGGTGCTTGACTAAATCTCCAGCCCCTTGAAGGTGAAGCGCGCCAGGTCGCCCGAGCGGGTGCTAACGCCGCTTAGGGGCATCTTGGGCACGCGCTCGGTCGAGAAGCCCGCGATACTCATCGCGCGGGCGTGACGACATGTCATGGAATCCAAAAAGGCGCTGCGTTTCACAGATACCGTGCCCAAAAAAGACAGCCAGGCGGAGGCCGCGTCGCGGCCCCTTTGCCGATGCGTTATTTACGCGCGCTGGGTCCGGATCATTTGCAACCTCCTCCTAGGAAAGCTACGGCCTCCGCTCTTCAACCTCGTCATGCAGCAATTCCAAACACAGAGCAATGACCTCTCACAAAACTTTTTTTTGGGGCCAAGAATCGGGCACTACACCCCCACTTCAGTGCGGTTGCGCTGCTGCCCTGTGCTAGTGAACAGCTTATTCACTCCTGCTTCTGATGCTATGTATCTGTGCCTGTGGGGATGCAGAGGCTGTGGTTAGTGTAACTCTCTGTGCAATGCGGTGAGGGCCAGCTGCAATGTGTCGCTGGCCGGGGAAGTTGTACCCAAAGTTTTGCGTTCCCAAAGGGTGATGTACATTTTTGGGCAGTTGTATACCAGTTGCTCAGTCCAGAAGCTTCGTAGGAGATGCAGATGACATGCGCGTTGTCGATCCATACGCATTCCAGAGCCTGTCACCTCTCAGGCGTCCGCATTTGAATTTCCTTGTCCGAAGAGTTTGACTCAGGCATTCAAACATGGGAAGACCAAGGACACGTGCATCCTTGCACTTTCTAATACGACATTCTGAGACTAGTCGGGCATTCATTGCACGCATAGCATTGGCCCTCATTGACACACCTCTTGTACTGTTTCACGCCCCAGTGGGAAACAAACCCGCGTACAGGTCGAACACGCGTTGTTGACCAGGGGGTCTGTCCACAGGCTCCGCAGGGGATGCAGATGACATGAGTCGGACACACGTTGTCGATCCATATGCATCCCAGAGCTGTCACCTCTGAGCAACTGCAGACAAGAAGAGCTTCGCGCAGTTTTTCGTGGGATAGCTCTTATTTGTCACATGTCTGTGTTAGGCTTGAAGCAGTGCAGAGTTCTGACGCTAGGTGTGGTTTAATTCTGTTTGAATTCGCGTGCGTGGCCATTTCTGCTTCAAGCCCCTGATTCAGACATGTCAAAAGGGTCCGACCCTTTTTTGGCGCCCACCCACCCACTCTGACTTTTGCCCACATCGATCCTCGAGGATCGGAACTCAGTATGCGTCCGCATTTGAAGAGTTTTGACTCAGGCATTCAAACATCGGAAGACCAAGGACACGTGCATCCTTGCACTTCTAACACTACCTCAGGACATCCTGAGACTAGGCTGAATATGCATCATTCTAGCCGTCGGGCATTCATTGCACGCATAGCATTGGCCCTCATTGACACACCTCCTGTACCGTTTACAAGCCCGCGTACAGGTCGAACACGCGTTGTTGACCAGGGGGTCGGACACGCGTTGTCGATCCATATGCATCCCAGAGCCTGTCACTCTGAGCACCTCCAGACAAAAAGAGCTGCGCGCCGTTTTTCGTGGGATAGCTCTTATTTGTCACATGTCTGTGTTAGGCTTGAAGCAGTGAACAGAGTTCTAACGCACACACTGAAGCATCCGTGCGGAAGGACATGTGATGAACGAACATGCATCTCAAGTGCGGATGTCATGCATCTTTTTCAGGGTGTCCACGTGGGGTTGTTGGCGCTACACCTCGTGTTTGGCTTGCATATGGCTTAGATCGTGTTGAAGTATTAGGCGTGCACCGTCCTGGGGTACACAACGACAGTTGCGATGTCGGTGACGCGTTCAGTTTTTTTTTGGGGAGATCCAGTGACCCCTGTAGCAGCATATAGGAACAACGCACGCAGCAAACATAGCCTTGCTCATCAGTGCGGGGGCCTCTGTGGGCGGGATACTGTGGCAACTTCTCTCGCAAAACTCCCAAGGCTTGGTCAGTTCACCTTGGGCGGCATGCGTGGGGGGTTTTCAACATAGGTGCACCCTTTTGTTCATAGTTTCCAAGGGAAATCACTTTTCTGGAGGGTCCCCAATTCTGAGAAACACCGACGTATGTTCTCCGAATAGGGATGCAGTACTGGGCCATGCGCTTGTTACGCAACCATTAGGGCACCAGGTGACAGGCTTTGAGTCTGCTTCTGTGAGCCAGATCTAGACAGAGCTGCTCCGTTAAAACCAACCACAGGTTTAGCTGTGGCCTTCGCCTGCTGCCTGAACGCCCATTGTGCCCATGCTTCTGTCCTTGCGCCCGCCACGTCTCCGAAAAGTCAGCCACACCGGACATGTCTGGTCTGGAACTCCAACCTGAAGCTCCGGAGGTTTGCCACGGCTGAAGCCTTCGAGCTGTTCTTTTCCCAGGTCTCCGGACAGGCGGCACAGAAGAAGGGCAAGGCCAGGTTTTGTTGTGACCTCGGCGAGCAAATGGGGTGGCTTCACAAAGGACAGTTGAGGTATTGGTGAAGCACTCTGCGGCCTGTCAAAAGGATCGGGTCCGAGCAACAGAGGAAAGGTACCAATCTGAGTCTGGAGCGAATCGGGCAGAATGCAGGCTCTGATTTTTGCTCCGTACATGTTGAGTTTCTCATTTTCAGAGTTTTCGCCCTGGCAGATCAATTTCGCTGGAGCTTCTCAGAAGCTGAAAACTGGTGGCTGAAGGATGTCAATCAGCAGTCTTTGTTTTTGACGGTACCCTCGTCAGGTTGGTTTGAAGGGACAAAATCCCAGGAAAGCCACCAGTTGGAACCATCCTTTGGCGGGAGAGCCCAGTCAAGAGTGGCAGTTTGAGGGCTTCTCCGAGTTTCTTCTGCTTGTCTCCCTTTGGACCACAATTTAGAGATCAAACTTATGAGACGTCATGGACCCAGTAAGCTGATTGACTTTGGAATTGGGGCTTAGATACTCTCCTTGAACTTCCTTGCTTGAACAAACTTGAATTTGGATGACTTCAGATAGGCCTTGGCAACCTCTACCGCTTCACAACTTGTTTCTGCATTCGACGGGGCATAGGGTCATGCAGTTGGCAGTGTGCTTCGGCATCTCTGCCAATTGAGCCTTGTCACCTCTTGGCGATAGCGCCTGACGAGCACTAGCTTTTACATCCGCGTCAGCTTTGCTTGAGCGACTTTTGCCAACAGCGCCAGCCGCGGTTTTTTGCTGCCGGTGCCAGGCTTGAATAGAAGCGCTGAGGACTGCGGAAGGGACACCTGAGGCATGGGATGGATGCATGGCCCTGGGAAAAAGCAGATGGACCCTTTGCTTTGTTCCTTATTTCTGGCAAGAAAAGTGCTTACTGGCTGGATTGAACAAAGACGCACGAGCAATATGCAACTTTAGATCCGGCTCAGTCCGCCGACATTGTCCTCCCTTTTCTCCTTCTTCCTCTCTCTATTGTCTCCTGCCCCGTGTGTTCTCTCGTCCTCTCTCCCTCCCTCTGCTCCCATGCTCCCCATCCCCCCAAGCCTCTCTCTCTCTCTGTCTCTCTCTCTCTCTTTGTGTCTCTCTCTCTCTCTCTCTCATTCTCTCTCTCTCTCTCTCTCTCTCTCTCTCTCTGTCTCTGTCTCTGTCTCTGTCTCTGTCTCTGTCTCTGTCTCTCTGTCTTTCTGTGCCTCTCTCTCTCTGTCTCTCATTCTCTCTCATTCTCTCGCATTCTCTCTCATTCTCTCTTATTCTCTCTCATTCTCTCTCATTCTCTCTCATTCTCTCTCATTCTCTCTCATTCTCTCTCATTCTCTCTTATTCTCTCTCATTCTCTCTCATTCTCTCTCATTCTCTCTCTCTCTCTCTTTCTCTCTCTCTCTCTCTTGTCAAACTACATGCTTCACTTTGCACCCTTGTTGCATGTATGTTCACTACCGCAGGCCTTGAGCTTACTACTCCGCATGAGTCAAAAGGTTGGCAGCTGCAGACTACATCGGTTGACTGTTTGTTTGAACACTACAGCACTTGCACTTGTAAGCAAAGTAACAACCGATTTTAACGTGGTAGCGGAGCTGAGATCCTAAACATAGGGGAGCTCCAGTAAGCAGTAAGTACTACAACAACAGAGCAACAGCAGCTACATGCCAAACTACTACGACATGTCAGGAGAAGCAGCATCAGCCTCAGCACAACAAACTACAGGAGCAGAGAACGGGCCAACAGCAGACACAGTAGGAGCCACAACTACGGGAGCAGGAACAGAACAAGACAACGACGTTCAGAGACTACATAGATACAAACTGCCACCACCCTTCTTCACTGGTGACTACTCCCAGTATGAAGAATGGCTGTTCAAGCTACAAGCATACCTCGGCCTCATAGACCGAGACTTCGACCTGGTGCTACAACTAGCACAAGTGGCTACACGACAGATTGAGGACACAGACATCAGAACACACATACTCGACCCTACACAAGCAAGCAAAGCAGTAGACCTCTCCAGAGATCTACACTACATCCTCATCAACATCTGTCAGGGAGCAGCAGCTACAGTAGTAAGGCAAAACCGCTACAACGCAAACGGATGTGAAACACTACGACTACTACACAACAGGTTCAGCCTACCAGTAGGAACAAGGAGCGTTGGTTACCTTACCAAACTACTGGAACCCACATTCAACGAAGCGCAGTTTGAAGAACAATTTCTACAATGGGAATACGACATCAACCGCTACGAGAAAGACAATGGAACAGCACTACCAGATGGAATCAAAATAGCAATACTACTCAACAAAACCAAAGGAGCACTGCAGCAACACCTCCAACTGCGAGCTGGACAGATCACGAACTACATCGAGATCAGAGCACTCATCCTGGACTACTACAAAACGATTTCAGCCTTCACTAGATCTACTTCAGCAGTAGGAACAAACTACAATGGAGGAACTGCACCAATGGATGTTGACAACATATGGAGGAAAGGAAGAAGCTACAAAGGCAAAGGAAAAGGAAAAGGCGGCTACAAAGGAAGCAAGAGCAAAGGCAAGTACAGGAGTAAAGGACACTACAAAGGATTCGACAAAGGCAGCAAAGGAAACTACAACAAAGGAGGATACAACAAGAGCAAAGGAAAAGGCTACTCAGGATTCAAAGGATATGGATCAAGCAAAGGCTACAAAGGCCAAGGAAACTACAGCAAATCAAAAGGAAAAGGAAACAACAACTACACAACATGCCATCGATGTGGCAAGCCCGGCCACTGGGCACAAGACTGCAGAGTGCTGGTATGGCACATAGGAGAAGGAGAAGAACTACATCCACTAGAACAAGAACAAGCAGATCACGACAACAATGATGAACTACCTCAGGATGTGAACGACACTTGGGACTGGTACTACGAAGGAGAAGAAGGACAACATGAGGTGAACTACATGGAGGAGAACTGGAACGACTACGACTATGACAACAGCTGGGATTGGAATGACAACAGCTATGAGGACACAGCGAACTACATTGGAGGCATCAACGAGTCACGCCTCACCATTGGACACATCAGACAAGCAAAATCACGACTACACAAGCACAAATCCAAATCACTACTTGGCAAGAGAACAACACACACAACATCATGGAACGACCACAGCAAGAGCTTTCAACAATTCCTACAAGAAGACACCACAAAGCTACACTTCGACATAGCAGCAGCAAGACAACAACAAAGGAACAAGAAGATTGAGGACACTATCACCCACTACATCATGTACTCCAACTTCAAGTCATACCACCACCTGTTGATCGACTCAGGAGCATCTACACATGTTTGCCCAAAGGACTACGCACCGGATCTTCCACTACGACCCTGTGGAGAATCAGTTCCACAACTCTACACGGTGACCAACAAGAAGATTCCAGTCTACGGCATCAAGTACGTTCCCTACAAGCAGGACAAATTCAGGATCATGATGCCCTACTACGTTTGTGATGTGAAGTATCCAATCCTCAGCGCATCAAGGCTACTTGATAGAGGATATGGACTTGACTTCACTCCACGACACTGCACCATCACACATGGACAACAACAAGCGCACCTCATAAGACACTCAGGACTTTTCTCTACCTACGAGCAGAGAAGATCGACATTCCTACAGGATTCGACATCTACCCAATGACTACAGACAATGGAAAATCCATTGCTGTGATTCAACCTACAGAGAGAGCAGCGCAACAACAAGAACAAATCGCACCACTCACACACACAGACCAAGGACTACGACAGATCCTTGGTGGAAACACTGACTACTGGAAACTTGATGGTGACTACGCCATCAGAGTACACAAACGACCACGCAAAGCACTGTTCACACCACACAACAGTGGCTGCCCAATACCAGAAGGAGAACTAGATGATTGGAGACTAACCATCATCAACAGACAAGGGCAAGAGCAAGAACAACTACAAGAGAACCCAACACAACTTTCCAAGCAAGAACTACAACGAAGACTAGAAGGTGACAACTGGACTGGAGAAACCAGATTCAGAAGAAAGATAACACCTACACGCAGGGCAACATCAAAGACCACACCAACAAGGCAGAGCTCACAACCGCAACGGCTACTGGACACACCACCAACCAGATCAAAGATCCAACTACGAGCACCACAAAAGATATGGAGACCCAAAGCAGCACCTTCAACAAACCTTGACACCACACAACCAAAGGAGACAATACACAGACCACTCACAGCACAGGAGGACAACCAAGACTACTGGGAAAGACAAGGTGAACACTGGATACGACACCACACAACGCTTAGAACAACTCTCTTCACTCCAACAGATGGACCAGGACATCCACCAATCAACACACTTGAACCTTACAGAACTACAATCACTCACAACAACTTTGGAGAAGTTTCACAACGCAAAGATGACTGGACAGTCATGGGCAACGCAGCACTACCATTTCAATGGAAAGGAACAACAAGGTTCACCGTGAAGAAAGACTACGAGTACATCCAGGAGAACCACGATGAAGAACAACAACACGAGCATCATGAAGCACACAGAGCAAGAGGACTACGACAACCACAGCAGCCCACTCCACAACAAATAGCAGAACACAACCTTACACATCTACCATACAGAAACTGGTGTCCAATTTGCGTTCAAGGCAAAGGACGCCAAGACAACTACAAGAAACAACAATCACGACAACCTGTCATTCAAGTAGACTTTGCCTACATCAAGTCACAACAAGACCCAAAGACCACACCGGTACTGACAGCAGTTGATGTTACTACACAACTGTGTATGGCAGTATTGGTTCCAGACAAAGCATCAATGATGGACTACATGGTCAACAACCTACAAGCATTCATCTTTGAGTGCGGAAGAACACAAGGCATACTACAAAGCGACAACGAAGACACACTCAACGCACTTCTAAAAGCTACAGCAGCAAAAGTCGGCACAATGAGTGTACGACATTCACCTTCCTACAGCAGCAACAGTCAAGGAAGCGTTGAGCGACTACATAGAACACTTCTCGGACAAATCCGCGTCGTCAAAGCTCAAGTTGAAAGCAACTACAGCATGACGATGTCCACAAAGCACTGTCTACTACCTTGGATAGTACGACATGCAGCATGGACGGTAAATCGCTACGTCATCCACTCAGACGGCTACACAAGCTTTGAACGCCGCTGGGGAAGAAACTACGAGCGAGCAATCTGCGAATTTGGCGAGACACTACTCTACCTTCCACCACAACACAAGAAACTTCCGAAAGCAGACCTACGGATGCAGAAATGCATCTGGCTCGGAAAAGTTTCCGAAACCGGAGAAAACTACGTCGCAACGGAATCAGGCGAACAAAAGGTACGAACAGTACGGAGACTACAACCGGACTTCAAATACGACCTCGCACTGTTGAACAAAGTCTCCGGCACACCATGGGCACCACGACGGAACACCTACAACCCATCGTTCGCAACACTGTCGGATACGCAACTACAACCGTCAGAGAAAAGAAGGTCCACGCAAGACTTCGGACAACAAATGCGACGGACGACATCGTTGCAGAACCCGCAACAAAACAACAACGCACTACACCACCTCCACGACTTCCGTCCACATCGACGTCAAGTTCACGACCACTACCGGATAGTCCTATGGCTACTTCACCAACTGGACGACAACATCCACCACTACCAGCACCACCTCGACAAACACTACGACGTTTAACTCCGGAAGAAGTAATGCAACCAACTAAAGCACAGAAGACCTCAAAGGACACTACAATCAGATCAACGGAACAAGCAACCAAAGAACCACCACCACTACGACAGAAAATCAACGCAGTGACACTTCCCAACGGAAAATCCATCACTCCCTACACAAACGACGACACCTCAGAAGACCAACCCATAATCTTCGACAACGAAGGTTACGACGAAACACAACTACTGGAAGGAATGAAACACCAGTCAAACCAAATGAAACTACACGACGTCTACGACGAAGTAGATGCGTCTACCGTCAACGACAACGTCATCAGAGAAGCGATACCTACAAGATGGGTACACAGAAAGAAAGAACCAGGAGTACGAAGCCGAATCGTCGCAAAAGGCTACACCGAGAAGATCGAGGACGAAGACTCCGTCTACGCCTCTACACCAATGTTCACGACACTCCGGACACTTCTCGCACTACAAATGTCACGACCAAACTGGATCGCGCGACTAGGTGACGTCTCTACAGCATTTCTACACGCACCCATCGCAAAAGACCACGACGGTAAACAACGTGACGTCTACCTTTGGCCACCTAAAGAACTTTGTCCACAACAGGACAAAATCTGGCGACTAAAGAAAGCCATGTATGGACTACGCAGTTCACCGAAAGCATGGCAGGACTACCTGGCTGAAGTTCTACAAAAGCTCAGCTTTGTAAGACTAAAGTCAGAACCCAACGTCTACACCAATGCGACTCGCGACTGCTACATCATGGTCTACGTGGACGATCTACTAGTACTTGGAGACAAGACCGCAGTCGACTCCACTTTCGAGGCCGTCCAGAAGCAGGTACTACTCAAGCACATCGGCTACCTCGAACCTGGCAAACCACAACAATTTCTTGGAAGAAACATCGACCACTTCGGCAACTACTGCAATCTTGGACTAAAGGACTCCTACATCGACAACATGATCGAGGAGTCTGGAATGAACAACTGCAACTCAGTAAACACTCCAGGAATTGCACACTACAAACCAACAATAGAAGATGAAGCACTACTTGACCACGAACAACACAAAAGGTACAGAAGAATTGTTGGCAAACTTCAATGGTTAGCATACACACGACCAGACATTGCATACTCCACAAAAGAACTAGCACGAGACCTCACAGCACCTACAGAACTTTCACAAAAGAGAGTCAAACATCTACTACGCTACTTGCACGGCACCAAGCACTACAAATTCACCATAGAACCAACAACAACACTCAGAGCAAACACCAACAACATCCTGGATCTCGACGTTCATGTCGATGCCGACTGGGCAGGATGCCCTACTACCAGGAAATCAACTTCAGGTTTCAACGTCATCTTTCTAGGAACAACAGTTGCATTTGGCAGCAGGACACAAGCTACAATAGCACTTAGCTCAGCAGAGTCTGAACTCTACGCCATTTGCACAGGAGTTAATGAGGGACTACACCGCAGAAACTTCCTACTCGAAACCAACATTTGCAGCAAGCTAAACCTACGCATCCACACAGACTCCACAGCAGGCAAGAGCATTGCTACACGACAAGGCACTAGCAAACGAGCAAAGCACATCGACCTCAAATTCCTCTACACACAAGACCTCATCAAGCACGACATCATCAGAATCCTTAAGATCAACACACTCCACAACAGCGCAGATTTGTTTACCAAATACATCAGCAAAGAAACACTACACAGGCTCATCCAGAGCATTGGAATACGCATCTAGCACTACGAACGACCAGCACAGCAGTTTCACAACAACAACAACGACTTTGGACATTTCATGTATGTAAGTAGCTACATGTAACACGACACTTTTGGTATGTAAGTAACAGTAACTACATGTACTTTCACTTGCACTTTTGGCGGCTTGAGTCAACACTACAGTTGTTTGTTTTACATGTCTGCATTCGCCGACTGCCTGGTAGCAACTACTTAGGCTCATTTGTTTTGCCCCGTTTCACTACATTTTGCATTCCACTGCAGCCATGGCCGCTCCATCTACTGCAGATGCTACGATGGGAGATGCCACTACGCCCGACAGGGCGACTACACCTGAGGTGGCGGTCACTACGGACTCCAGTGACCACGGAACTCCACCACCTCAAGCCTACAACGACTCCAACTACCACTTCAACCATTCTACACCCGGCAACACCGTCTACTACAACCCGACCACAGTGATGGACCAACTACACATCACTGAGCACCAGACAACCACTGCACCACCACTGGCCAACAACATTCCCTACACGCAATTTTTCACTGCATTTACACTTGAAGAGTATCAACTACTCTCACAACAACAAGCTACTCCACTGGCACAACTGGACTACACACGACCCATTCACTGCATCCCTGGAGATCTTCGGATGCCACACTACAATTCCACACTGCTCAGCATTTCACTACCTGAAGCAGCCAACGTCCACTACTACCACACAACTTCACTCCACACTACAACTGGCGACAACACCAACTACGTCATCATCCAACTCCAGATTGAACAACCACTAATTGTGAGGCACCTCACTTCAGGACAATTTCTACACTTCACAAGGGACTACATCTCCTACATGATGTCGGTACAACACAACTACTACCTCCCGACTACAACACTGCCACAGACCATCTTCAAGGTGAACTACAACATGACCACCTTCACTGACAACTACAGCCTCAGGAACAACTACGTTTGGAATTACCACATGCCACTACTTCTACCTGAACTACTCCATTACCTTTACAACCGAGACCAACTACACGACTTCCAGCACAAAGCAATCACTACAATCCTCTGCAAAAGCATCCAATACTACGGATTGACACTACTCACAATGACCAACCTCACACAACACCACAAAGCATTACTACACCGCTTTCTACGGGACTACGACCAACACATGTCGTGTCCCGAGATTGATGATGAGCGACTACGGGGAGCTCCAAACTACATGACAACCTTTTTCACCACCAACTACTACGCGACCTTGGACAGTCGACTACAGATGGTCCAAGCCTACCGCACCCAGAAACGGGGACTACATTTTTGAGCTCCTGCTCTACTACAACGAGTGCCTGCCTTCACTACTTCCGTCCAGCGCCCTACATCGAGCTGGAACCTGAACAGCGTGAACTACTGAGCGCAGGTCACTACTTTTGCCAATACAGTAGAATTGATGAACAACAATGGTTTTCATCACTACTGTCAATCCATGTTTTGCACTTCAGTTGAAAAGGTACTACAAAGACCTTTTAACTGAGGGGCCGTGTCAAACTACATGCTTCACTTTGCACCCTTGTTGCATGTATGTTCACTACCGCAGGCCTTGAGCTTACTACTCCGCATGAGTCAAAAGGTTCTCTCTCCCCCGCTCTCTCCCTGTCTCTCTCTCTCTCCCTGCATTGCAGCGTCACGTCCCCCCTGAGTTGCCTCGATGTGCAGGCACTGCCCCTTCATGACCCTGAACTGTCTGCTTACTACTGGCTTTCCCCTTGTTCCCCTGCATGTCTTTTCCACGCATGATGTCCTGGTCATGTCCCTTCCACTCCTCTCAACTCCCCCTTCATGTCCCTGTCGTTTTCTCGGTATGTCCGCTTCATTTTCCATGTATGTCCCGTTCTTTCGTTGCGAGCCATTTCCCGACATCTCCCGTCGTGCCGATTGGTTTCCTTGTCCTTTGTTTCTTCATGTTCCTTTCAGTTCCCCTTTGTTTCCCTTGCTTGCTTTTTCCTCCCTCATTTCCTTGCACTTCCTTGCATTTCCCCTTTGCTCTCCAGTGTTTCCTGCAAAGAAACACGGGTTTTCCAGCGTTTTCGCAAAGAGGACGTGAACAAAAACACAGAGTTTTTCCAGACTTTCGGCAAAAGGAGGCAGGAAATCCAAACCAGCAAAGAGCCGGCAGGGGTATTCGAGCCTGGGACCCCTGTTTTGCGCGCCCCGAAGACTACGTTTAGTGGAGCGTCATCAAATTACCGCGCGGTTCGTGGGGACCCCCCCCCCCCCCTGTACCCTGCGTATCAGACGTCGGGCGGGGGGTGGTTGGGGGGGGGATATCCTCTATCCTCTCTTAGGTGTCCGACACGCCGAGCAATGTCGGCGGATATTCAGCGGCAAACGGAAGCAAGGAACTATCACGGACAAACTTGAAACGACCGAATGGTTCTAAGCAGGTCAAGCTGGACCAGACTGCCAATGCATCAAAGCAGCCAATCAAGACAGCAAGCACGCAGGTAAACAAGCAAGCAAACACAGACCTCAGCAGCCCATCGACGTGCGGCATGGGGCGCCGTGTCTCACTTGCTCAGTCTGCTTCGAAATGTGGCTCTGAAAATTGGATTCGGACCAATTCCTCCGGGTAGGTGTTTTCCTTTTGGTTTCCTTGCAAACCCATCCCACAGGGGCGGCTCCCTATTTTGAGACATCTCTATGTGGCTACAGGTCAAACTAACCCCATAACTCCTAGAAGGCTGAGACCAAGCACAGGCAGGCTCCCTCCAGAATTGAAGCATGTCGCACGGATTCATGTGAGTTAGTCGTAGACTGGTGGAGTGCCGTTTCAAGCTTGGGGGGTTCGTAGGAAGACGGTGCAAACTCAGAATTGATGCCAGGACGCTGCATTGGCGAAATGGGCGACACTGTGGAAGACCAAGCTGCTGACATGGACAACTACACGGCGGAGGTGCCGTTTCGTGTGCTGATGGATGCCGTTTGGACACAGCCCAAATATTCTTAGAGAATCCCCTGGTTTTGCAATTGGACCAGAGAGATCAATTTGGCTTTCAGGCGACGCGTGTTCGCATTTGCGGCCCCCCGTGGCTGGTGTACAAGGGCGCTGGTCTCGTGCCGGGCGAGGGCATCGCATGCGTGAATGGTGAGGCGCGGATATTTTTGTTTTTTGGCTGTGCGCTTTGATCACGCCCCTTTTCACGTTGATCACTCTGGGCTCGTTTTCTCTGGATCCTTCGGTCCCACGCGATGTCGCCAGGGTGTCGCCGCCTGGGAGTCCCGAAAACTTCGAGAGGTCTTGGCCGAAAAAGCGACTCTGGTGCTCGTGCCTGGCACACCGCAGCAGAAGCAAGAGGCGGCAGCCTTGCGGATACAATCGGTTTCTTGGCGCGCGCATCTTCGTATGGCCAACTGGCGGTTTGTGATGGGTCGACAACATGCTGGTGCAATACACAAGCCAAAACTGACACGGTTTGAAAAGGGTCGATAGCTTGCTGATGCAATACACAAGACAAACCGGACCCAATACACAAGCCAAATCTGACACGGTTTGAAAAGGGTCGCTGCTGCAATACACAAGCCAAAGCTGACACGGTTTGAAAAGGGTCAATAACTTGCTGGTGCAATACACAAGCCAAAACTGACACGGTTTGAAAAGGGTCAATAACTTACTGGTGCAATACACAAGCCAAAACTGACACAATACACAAGCCAAAGCTGACACGGTTTGAAAAGGGTTGCTGCAATACACAAGCCAAAACTGACACGGTTTGAAAAGGGTGGATAACTTGCTGGTGCAGTACACAAGCCAAAACTGACACAATACACAAGCCAAAACTGACACGGTTTGAAAAGGGTCGCTGCTGCAATACACAAGCCAAAGCTGACACGGATTGAAAAGGGTCGATAACTTGCTGGTGCAATACACAAGACAAAATGGACCCAATACACAAGCCAAATCTGACACGGTTTGAAAAGGGTCGCTGCTGCAATACACAAGCCAAAGCTGACACGGTTTGAAAAGGGTCGATAACTTCCTGGTGCAATACGCAAGCCAAAACTGACACAATACACAAGCCAAAACGGACACGGTTTGAAAAGGGTCGCGGCTGCAATACACAAGCCGAAACGGACACGTTTTGAAAAGGGTCGATAACTTGCTGGTGCAATACACAAGCCAAAACTGACACGGTTTGAAAAGGGTCGATAACTTGCTGGTGCAATACACAAGCCAAAACTGACACGGTTTGAACAGGGTCGATAACTTGCTGATGCATACACAAGCCAAAGCTGACACGTTTTGAAAAGGGTCGATGGCTTGCTGGTGCAATACACAAGCCAAAACTGACACGGTTTGAAAAGGGTGGATAACTTGCTGGTGCAGTACACAAGCAGAAACTGTCACAATACACAAGCCAAAATTGACACGGTTTGAAAAGGGTCGCTGCTTCAATACACAAGCCAAAACTGACACGTTTTGGAAAGGGTCGATAACTTGCTGGTGCAATACACAAGCCAAAACTGACACGAATTAAAAAGGGTCGATTACTTGCTGATGCAATACACAAGCCAAAACTGACACGGTTTGAACAGGGTCGATAACTTGCTGATGCACACACAAGCCAAAACTGACACGGTTTGAAAAGGGTCGATAACTTGCTGGTGCAATACACAAGCCAAAACTGACACGGTTTGAGAAGGGTCGATAACTTGCTGGTGCAATACACAAGCCAAAACTGACACGGTTTGAAAAGGGTCGATAGCTTGCTGGTGCAATACACAAGCTAAAACTGACACGGTTTGAAAAGGGTCGATAACTTGCTGGTGCAATACGCAAGCCAAAACTGACACGGTTTGAAAAGGGTCCATAACTTGCTGGTGCAACGCGCAAGCCAAAACTGACACGGTTTGAAAAGGGTCGATAACTTGCTGGTGCAACACACAAGCCAAAGCTGACACGGTTTTAAAAGGGTCGAACAAATGCTGGTGCAATACACAAGCCAAAGCTGACACGGTTTGAAAAGGGTCGATAACTTGCTGGTGCAATACACAAGCCAAAACTGACTCGGTTTGAGAAGGGTCGATAACTTGCTGGTGCCATACACAAGTTAAAACTGACACGGTTTAAAAAGGGTCGATAGCTTGCTGGTGCAGTACACAAGCCAAACTGACACGGTTTGAAAAGGGTCGATATCTTGCTGATGCAATACACAAGCCAAAGCTGACACGGTTTGAAAAGGGTCGATCACTTGCTGGTGCAATACACAAGCCAAAACTGACACGGTTTGAGAAGGGTCGATAACTCGCTGGTGCAACACACAAGCCAAAACTGACACGGTTTGAAAAGGGTCGATAACTTGCTGGTGCAATACACAAGCCAAAACTGACACGGATTGAAAAGGGTTGATAACTTGCTGGTGCCATACACAAGTTAAAACTGACACGGTTTGAAAAGTGTTGATGTCTTGCTGGTGCAATATGCAAGCCCAAACTGACACGGTTTGAAAAGGGTCGATATCTTGCTGATGCAATACACAAGCCAAAACTGACACGGTTTGAAAAGGGTCGATCACTTCCTGGTGCAATACACAAGCCAAAACTGACACGGTTTGAGAAGAGCTGGTGCAATACGCAATACACAAGCCAAAACTGACACGGTTTGAAAAGGGTCCATAACTTCCTGGTGCAATACGCAAGCCAAAGCTGACACGGATTGAAAAGGGTCGATAACTTGCTGGTGCAATACGCAAGCCAAAGCTGACACGGTTTGAAAAGGGTCGATAACTTGCTGGTGCAATACACAAGCCAAAGCTGACACGGTTTGAACAGGGTCGATAACTTGCTGATGCATACACAAGCCAAAACTGACACGGTTTGAGAAGGGTTGAAAACTTGCTGGTGCAATACACAAGCCAAAACTGACACGGTTTGAGAAGGGTCGATAACTTGCTGGTGCAATACACAAGCCAAAACTGACACGGTTTGAAACGGGTCGATAGCTTGCTGGTGCAATACACAAGCCAAAACTGACACGGTTTGAAAAGGGTCGATAACTTGCTGGTGCAATACACAAGCCAAAACTGACTCGGTTTGAAAAGGGTCGATAACTTGCTGGTGCAATACACAAGCCAAAACTGACACGCCAAAACTTGCTGGTGAAATACACAAACCAAAGCTGACACGGTTTGAAAAGGGTCGATCAGTTTCTGGTGCAATACACAAGCCAAAACTGACACGGTTTGAAAAGGGTCGATGACTTGCTGGTGCAATACACAAGCCAAAACTGACACGGTTCGAAAAGGGTCGATAACTTGCTGGTGCAATACACAAGCCAAAACTGACACGGTTTGAACAGGGTCGATAACTTGCTGATGCAATACACAATCCAAAACTGACACGGTTTGAAAAGGGTCGATAGCTTGCTGGTGCAATACACAAGCCAAAACTAACACGGTTTGAAAAGGGTCGATAAGTTTCTGGTGCACTACACAAGCCAAAACTGACACGGTTTGAAAAGGGTCGATAACTTGCTGGTGCAACACACAAGCCAAAACTGACACGGATGGAAAAGGGTCGATAACTTGCTGGTGCAATTCACAAGCCAAAACTGACACGGTTTGAAAAGGGTCGATAACTTGCTGGTGGAATACACAAGCCAGAGCTGACACGGATTGAAAAGGGTCGATAACTTGCTGATGCAATACACACGCCAAAACTGACACGGTTTGAAAAGGGTCGATAGCTTGCTGCTGCAACACACAAGCCAAAACTGACACGGTTTGAAAAGGGTCGATAACTTGCTGGTGCAACACACAAGCCAAAGCTGACACGGTTTGAAAAGGGTCCATAACTTGCTGGTGCAATACACAAACCAAAGCTGACACGGTTTGAAAAGGGTCGATAAGTTTCTGGTGCAATACACAAGCCAAAACTGACACGGTTTGAAAAGGGTTGATAACTTGCTGGTGCAATACACAAGCCAAAACTGACACGGTTTGAGAAGGGTCGATAACTTGCTGGTGCAATACACAAGCCAAAACTGACACGGTTTGAGAAGGGTCGATAACTTGCTGGTGCAATACACAAGCCAAAGCTGACACGATTTCCAATGGGTCGAAGCTTGCTGGTGCAATACGCAAGCCAAAGCTGACACGGTTTCTAAAGGGTCGATAGCTTGCTGGTGCAATACGCAAGCCAAAGCTGACACGGTTTGAAAAGGGTCGGTGCAATACGCAAGCCATATCTGACACGGTTTGAAAAGGGTCGATAACTTGCTGGTGCAATGCACAAGCCAAAGATGACACGATAACTTGCTGGTGCAATACGCAAGCCAAAGCTGACACGGTTTGAAAAGGCTCGATAACTTGCTGATGCAATACACACGCCAAAACTGACACGGATTGAAAAGGGTCGATAACTTGCTGGTGCAATACGCAAGTCAAATCTGACACGGTTTCCAAAGGGTCGATAACTTGCTGGTGCAATACACAAGCCAAAACTGACACGGTTTGAAAAGGGTCGATAACTTGCTGGTGCAATACGCAAGCGAAAGCTGACACGGTTTGAAAAGGGTCCATAACTTGCTGGTGCAATACACAAACCAAAGCTGACACGGTTTGAAAAGGGTCGATAAGTTTCTGGTGCATGCAATACACAAGCCAAAACTCACACGGTTTGAAAAGGGTTGATAACTTGCTGGTGCAATACACAAGCCAAAACTGACACGGATTGAAAAGGGTCGATAACTTGCTGGTGCAATACACAAGCCAAAACTGACACGGATTGAAAAGGGTCGATGACTTGCTGGTGCATGCAATACACAAGCCAAAGCTGACACGGTTTGAAAAGGGTCGATAACTTGGTGGTGCAATACGCAAGCCAAAACTGACACGGTTTGAAAAGGGTCGATAACTTGCTGGTGCACTACACAAGCCAAAGCTGACACGGTTTGAAAAGGGTCGATAACTCGCTGGTGCAACACACAAGCCAAAACTGACACGGTTTGAGAAGGGTCGATAACTTGCTGGTGCAATACACAAGCCAAAACTGACACGGTTTGAGAAGGGTTGATAACTTGCTGGTGCAATACACAAGCCAAAGCTGACACGGTTTCCAAAGGGTCGATAGCTTGCTGGTGCAATACGCAAGCCAAAGCTGACACGGTTTGAAAAGGGTCGGTGCAATACGAAAGCCAGAACTGACACGGTTTGAACAGGGTCGATAACTTCTTTGGTGCAATACACAAGCCAGAGATGACACGGTTTGAAAGGGTCGCTAACTTGCTGGTGCAATACGCAAGCCAAAGCTGACACGGTTTGAAAAGGGTCGATAACTTGCTGGTGCCATACAGAAGCCAAAGCTGACACGGTTTGAAAAGGG